TAGTTAGACTGGTTTGGGCACCAGGTAAATGGTGTTGAGGCCATAGGGTGAGCTGACCCTGTAGAGAGGCCATGTGCTTGGACAGATTTCAGAACATCTTCACAGCCATGGCACAGAGCCTGGTCCCTTCATCCGTTCGTTCACTCACATCCAATTCGGCACATGGCCCAGCACTCACAGGGTGCACAGAGCAGACATCCAGCAGGGTCACTAAGCTGGGGGACCAGGGCTGAGAGAGGGCAGGCTTCAGGAGGTGGCCTCCTCACTTTCCTGGTGTTTTGTCCCGACTTCTGGGACCGGCCGCAAGAAAGGAAGGCGGGAGGCAGAAAGGCTGAGCAAGCAGAGTTTATTGCTCCTGAGCAGCAGCTGAGACGGAGCCCCTAGAGTGGGGTCCGCAGCTACTGCCAACTCTATAAGGGGGAAGGGTCTCATATAGATTCTAAACTCAGATTCCAAAGGATGACTCACTGCTGTGTCCCTTGATGGAAGGCCCAGTTCGTTATCACCTTCTTCTAGTCCCAGTTAATTTATCACCCTTGGATGCAAGGCCCAGCTTATTACCGCCCTTATCTAGACCCATCAGTAAATCCCCCGCACTTGGTCACTCCCAACATCTGGGTGGCCAGCACCCGTTTTTCTGATGACTGTCCTTGAGTAGGGAAACTGTGAAAGATACCAGGCTTCCCACAGTTGTACTTGATGGGAGGGGATTTAGGCAATGAGATACTTTGAAAGCCAGCGGGTGACAAAAACTCACACTGTACAAGGTCTGGAGATGTTTTTCTTGTGCCTGTGAAAGCCTTTTATTATTATTATAGTTCATTTTTACATCATTTTGTGCCTTTTTCCATCTCAGTTATAATCCTCGTGGACTTCCCATCACCAATTCACCTGTGTGCCATCACCATAATACCCTGTACTCCCCCCCCCATTTTTGATCCCATTCCCCACTCTACCCCCATAAAATGTATATATACATTTATGGTATATAGTTGGTCATTATTATTATCCCCCCCCCCATCCTTAATGCTCCTGCTGAGTAAAACCATCCGGTATTTTTCTTTTTCTTTCTGAAAGCTTTTTTTTTTTTTTAAGCCATGGGGATACAAGGAAAGAATGACTCCAGCTTCATGATGAAGGAACATTTAGTCATTTTTTTCCTTTTGTGTTTCCCAGTCACACCTAGTGAGGAAGCTTTATCTAAATCCTGCAAGGAGATGGAGACTGGGGGGGTGGGGGGGTGGGAAGTCTGTATGTTGCAGAATGACGGGAAGCTGGCAGGTGTCTGTGAGTGTGTGTGTGAGTGTGAAGGTACATGTGTGGGGGAGGAGAAGGGAGCCACAGTCACCCCAGGCCCTTACATTCCTCAGGCTAATTCTGTGTCTAAGACTATGACAAGAAACCTGCTCTTCTGACCTTGTTTCCAGCAACAGCTCACCAGGACAGAGTCCCTCAGGCACTTGCCATTCTTAAAGCCAAATCAGTCTTTTAAGAAAAAAAAAAAATTAAACCTATATACTACAGACATGCTAATTTTAGAAGGAATTCCCTGTGAATGTGAAGGAGGCTCAGGACACCCACCGTCCAGCCCTGGCTGGGCCACACTCTTCTCTGCACACTCAGCTTTCCCTTCTCTGGGTTCCTTTGCTTATCTCTGTCCTTTCCTCTTGCCTTTCCAGGCCCTGGCTAAATCCTACTTCCTCCAGGAAGCCTTTAGCAGGATTGCTTAATTTAGAGTGCAAAAAGTACAGGACACCCCGTTACAACTGAATTTGAGATAAACATACAGACCAGCATTATTACCTGAAATTTAGACTTCACTGGGTGTGTGTGCTGTTTTACCCGGCAGCCCTATTCCTGACCCAAACTTAATCATTCCCACTCCCCGCCCTCCCCTCGGCCACTTCTCCAGTTCTCCAGAGCAGCATTTGAATAGCAAAGTTTCTTCCCAAATCGGGAGCAGCTGCCCACCAGGCCTTTTTTCCCTGGTGGCTCTGGTATTGTGCCTGGACTGTGCTGTATTTCTGCCTCCTTGTCACTGCAGTTCGCTGCCGCTCGCTCCAGGCTCCACTGCTCAGTGTTGTTTGTTTTGTTTTGTTTTGTTTTAATTGTTGTTTGTTTCCATTGGGTACAACCTGTATTTTATTTTTTATTAATTTTAGATGTTCTCCTACACTGTTCATGTTTGCACAGCCCTTGATTTCTCCCCTGAGGTGTAATCCCTGTAAATGTCCCTCCACTCCACCACCTGTGCGCCATCACCACCCTGTTTTGCTCCCCACTTCCCCTCACCCCCAACTGCCCCTCCCGCTTTAACTGTCCCATCTGTAGTTGTCTACAAAATTTGTCCATTTTTGGCCCTTTGTTCTGTTTCCCTATATTCATCTTGTAAGTGATATCATCTGATATTTTTCTCTCCTTCTGATTGATTTCACCTACTGCTCAGTGTTTTAACACTTATGGCATCCCCATCTTGGCCTGGGGTCGATCCTGAAGTGATGCTGTGTGTCATCTTTATAAAGGAAACATCCACGTGGGTCAGAGCCTTTCTCTTGCTGACCCATTCATGACTGGCCTGTTCAGACCTCAACAGAGAGTTTGCTTTTAGTTAAACCACCCAGAGTGATGAATAATTAGAGAGCATTTTGCTGCAAAAGCTCTTGCATATGGCTCTTTGAAGCCTGTGACGCATTTTCCTCATCTCATGTTCCACTTCCCCACAGCATCCTGGAAGGAAGAAAACTCAGGGATTTAGGCAGTTAGGAGGAGAAAAAGCTTGGGGAGTGAAGTTGTGCTTGATCCTGAGTAAGTGCTATACAACTGCTTAATTAACTGACTAGTGAAAAAAAAAAAAAAGATGGAGCTTAAAAGGATAAGATCTTGAAGCATACACGAATTTTTAAGTCACTCAGGTACCACCAAGTGAAAAGATGACCCCATGAAATCAAGGAGGGAGCCACAGCCAGTTTGTACATCATCAGTGTCAAGATTTTATCGTCAGAAGAAATAAAAATCACATTGTAATTGGTGCCAAGCCCAGCTTCATCTCACCTCCATAAACATGGGGAAGTCCCTTCTCCCCAAATGTAAGAGGAAGCAGTGGCCAAATGGTCTGTGAATGCCCAGCCATAGCCCCCTGTCTAGAATGTAAGCCTGGGAAGTGACCCTGTTTCCTCAATGGCTGAGACAGGCCTCAAAGTCTCCGGGAACTAAGGGGAAGTCACCACAGGGGCCACTGGGTGCTTCTTGATTTCAGAACTGTGCTTTGCAAAAAAAGTACACTTTTAAAAATATAAGTGACTGACATACTAAATTCTGTGCTTTATGGAGGCAATAGAATCATGGTCTTAAAGATAATTTAAGTATGTAGGGAAATGTTTATTCTACAGTAAGGAAGAAAATTCACTAACACAATTTGTGTATGTGTGTGTGTGTGTGTGTGTGCGTGCGTGCGTGCGTGCGTGCGTGTACTTAGAGGACTGTTTAATCACTTTTCACAGAAGCTTCCTTCATGCCAACCTTTGTTTTGGGGGCGGGGGTGGGGGAAACTTCTACAACAGATATACTTTTCTCTTGAGGTGTGGACAAAACTATAAAGTGATACTTATTTTTACTTTGGGGGAGGGTAGAGAGAGACCTTAGTTACAAAGATTTGGATTAATTGTACTCCTTAGGCACATCACCACGCTGATGAAATTCAAACTTAAAAAAGGAAATCCTGCCTACCATGTCCACTAGAAGGCGCTCTTCTTCAGTTTTAGACAGCCAGGACACAGATTTAGATAGGAGGTGTTAAGGCTTCCTTTCAATTTAATTGACTTTTAGGCCTCTTATGTGCTTTCTTGGTTTTAAGGACATTTTTTTTTAGAACCTCTTTAGATTTACAGAAAAGCTGCAAAGGTTGTATGACGTCCCTGTATATCTTGGCCCAGTGTTCCTTAATATTAACATGACACATGGCCTTGCTACCTTGTCAAAACTGAATGATTAACATTGGGACATTGCTATTAACTAAACAAGACTTTATTTGGATTTCATCAATTTTTCTATTAATGTTGCTGTTGTTTTTCAATACCATTTTGTGTCAGAACAGCGTGCTACATTGCATTTAGTAATTTTTTTTTCCCACAAAAACACTCACTGTGGTTATCATAGACCACAGTTTCTATTTTTCCTGAGCAACTGCATTTTGTAAAAGAAGTGAAGGTTAGCTTTTACTCCTTCATCTCCATTTTTATTTCTATATATTTGTAAAAGTTACTTAAGTTTTCCAACCCCTACATTATCATCTACATTTCTGACTTTCGTAGGTATGTGTGGAACCATCAGGTTTAGTAATCTTGTTTCTTCTCCTAATTCACCCTTTTTCCATTATGTTCCCTCCTACAATATGCCAGTGAAGAATGAATGCTATGATATTATCACTAGGTATGATAATGAGGTTTTGCAGAAAACTTTTTTAAAATGTCCTAATTTGGCCCTCCCTGGTGGCGCAGCGGGTAAAAGCACTGCACTGAGAAGCTAAAGCCACTTCTGCATGAGTTCGATTCCCGCCCCGGAGGTGACCACATGGCGTGGCAGACCTCTCCTGACCCGCCCGCTGCTCCCCTCAGCAGTGTACTTCTTGATCTGCCTGTTCTGTTCCCCACTCTGTCTCTGGTGAAGCCTCTCATGGCCCCTGAGCCTCTGGCGTGTACCCCAGTTCTGTATGTACAAATAAATAAATCTTTAAAAGAAAAATGTCCTAATCTATGAGATACTGGCATTTTCATAGATGAAATTACTTTAAAATACTTTGGCAAATAAAAACAATTGGGGAGCAAGAGCAGCTAAATAGGATGTGTCCATTAGCATCCATTATTCTTTTACTTTGTATATGACTGAAAAATATATAATTAAGTTTCTTAAAATGGAAATTTAAAAGAATTGAATAGTAAGCTTTGTTTTAATGGAATAGAAACCCCAAATCCTGTGGGATGTCCAGATCGACAGCTATTCAGCTTAACAGCGACAGATCAGTATAACAGACATTTGCAGATTCAGACTTGGATGTCAGAAACAATCTCCCAGGACCGCATGAGGTGCTGGAGGAGAGAGTGGACCGTGGTGCCGCCCTTCAAAACCCTGACTCAGACATATTTGAGGCTTGGAGAAACACCAACTGTGCAGTAAAGGCTGATTAAAATTGAATGTTGGCTGGTACCAAATAGACCGTTTTTTCAAGGTGGAGATTTTATTTGCATTTCTCTTTCTTCATTTTATGGGTTTATGTTGACTCATCTCAGCCATGTGGTTAATAAGTGGTGGAAGATTTATTATGATACTTAATAACAATAAGTTTTAATAATAGTAATTTTTAAATCTATATAGATTATAATTTTCCTAAGGACCTACAGACCTTCATAATTATCACAATTATCCTATTGAGCATTTAACTAAATTGTAGCCGCGAGCAGCACCTGCCTTTCTGCTTGCTGAAGTCTGCTTTTCTCTTCCCCCAGACCAGCTGAGGGCCTGCCCTGGCTCTCACAGCAGACGGGGGACTAGCACTGAGCTCTGCTCTGCTTTGTGATGGTGGCAAAATCAAGCCAACACTTTTTTCTGTCTCTTTTTATTCTGCAGCAGAAGTATTGGGAAGCCCTAAACTCGGAACAGGTATGGACAGTCATGCTTTCTCTGTTCCCAAAGGGACTTCCTGTGGCTTGGCTTCACTTCCTGTTTTTGTAAGACCTCCTTGGATAGCTGGGTTCAGGCTAACCTGAACTTTTTTCCTTTAGGAAAAAAGTGCATGTAAAAACTGAGAGGCAAGTATGAGAATCGGAATTTTCTGGGCTCTCCTGAAGCTTTCCTAAGTCATCAGGAGGCACTGGAAGGTGTGTGACCCCAGGGAAAAACATGGTTTGGAATATGAACTTGTTTTGTGCCCAAGCAGAATAATTTCCAGCTACTAATAGTGGTGCTGGAAGTGTGTGCAGTGGCTGTTGGGGCTAACACTCCCCCACATTATTATCTCGAGACCTAGGCCAGCTGGCTGTCTTGCCATGCCACCCTCGCCTCCAGGAGTTAGGCAAGCACATGTTTCCTGACATTGCCTGTGCCTGCCATCTCCCAGGGCTGTGCTAATGAAGAGCAGATCACATGTTGCTCGTTTTCCTTATGTCTGGATTATAGCCGTGTTTTTATTACTAAAGTGAAATTTTAAAACACACCCTGGGAATTCAGCAAGAATAACTTTCACAAAGCCTCTTCAGGTGCCAGCGCAGTGGTTCTGAAGCATAAGGGGTGCTGAGAATCACCTTGGGAGATTTTAACATGTCAAACTGTGGGTTTGACAAAGAGGCAATAGGGTGGCTAGCATCCTCCATTTTGATAAGTAGCTGGGGTGGGTCAGGTATGGTTAATCCAGAGCACACTCCAAGAACTATGGTTCTAGAATGCAGCCTCAGCTTGAAAACATTAGTCAAAAAGCACATGTATGTATCATCAGAGTAGAAAGGAGGGGTCTCCCTGGTGGTACAAGGGTTTAAGTCTTAGCACTAAGACTTTATCGCCAGCCACTGCATCAAGAGTCCAATCCCTGGCTGGGGAGGTGACCCATTTGCCCCAGCAGATGTCTCCTGCCTCACCCACTGCTCCCCTCAGCAGAGTATTCAGTAAATCCACCTATTCTGCTCCCCACTCTGTCTCTGGTGAATCCTCTCACCCCCTGTACCTCTGGCCTACACTTCAATTCTTATATACATAAATAAATAATTTTAAAAAAAAGGGCCCTTCCACCAGTGGGCAAGTGTGTCTTGGAGGCTGAAGGGCCATAGAGCTCATTTTTTGTGATCATCGATAGTGAATTTGGTCAGAGGCGCCCTGCAGCCACTAACAAGCACTGCAAATGGCCGGCAGAGCCCCTAACAGAAACAAGGGGTTGAGTTATAGCAACTTAATCAGCTTGGTGCCCAGTGGGTGGGATTACTGGGAATGAGGTGGTATTTTTAATATGCTGCTCTTCTAAATCACCAAGTAGGAGAACTCAGTTCAGTTATTATCAGTGGATCACTAACCGGACTTTTTCTTTCTGTTCAAAACAAAGCTACAATTTGTGCTTTATCACTAATTCAGTGTGGGCATTATTTGTTTGCAGCTCAGGGAGCCCTAACGACTTTATGTGGAACTGATCTCTGTGATTCAGCTTGACTATAGCAGCTGGTGACTATAGCATGCTCTCTTTTTCTTGGAGAGCATGTCTGTGCCTGGCTGTTTTCTTGCCTTATCTAAATAGATTCACCAAGGGGCAAACATCCTACAGGACCTTTGCTTTGTTGTTTCCTGGTCTTTCAGTATGACTCAGAATCATTAGTCACAAGAACTCCGAAATGAAATAGACTGTATGATCTTGTTGCTGATGTAGCATCCCATCTTACGCATAGAGAAACCAAAACTTAAAGAGGAAGCAAGTTAGTGGCAGAAGGAAGACTTGAACCTAGGGCCCTCCCTGGTGGGGCAACAAGTTAAAGCACAGCACTATAAAGCTAACCCATAGCCACTGCAGCACAAGTTCAATCTCCAGCCAGGGAGGTGGCCCACTGAGGAATCCTCTCACCCCTCACACCTCTGGCCTGTACGCTAATTTTGTATACATAAATCAATCTTCAAAAAAAAAGACTTGAACCTATTCATACCTGCCTCTGTGGCTGGACTCATTAAGCATTCCCATGCTCTAGGCCAGTGCAAAGTTCTTTCTCATCCATCATATTTGAAAAATAGAACTTTGCAAGTAGCTTCATCAGTGCTCATGTTTCCACTTATTTTTTTAAGATTTATTTACTTATGCACACAAGAACTGGGGTACAAGCCAGAGGTGTTGCGAATGAGAGGATTCACCAGTGACAGTGGGAAGCAGAACAGGCAGATGTACTGAAATGCACTGCTGAGGGGAGCAGGAAGCAGGGCAAGAGAGGTCTGCTGCACCATGTGGGTCACCACCCTGGCTCGGGATCGAACTCATGCTATAGAGGCTGCAGACAGTGCTGCACTTTAACCTGTGGTGCCACCAGGGAGGGGCCTCTACTCATTTCTTTTTAACCTTTCACTCCTATCTCTGCTAGTTTCAACCCCCATACTTACTGAGTCAAAATAATTAAATAATCACTAGCAGTGATCACCACTCCAAATGATGCTTTGTTTTTTTTTTTGACAAGTCTACTGAACCTAAGGTTGAAGAGGAAACACCATGCCAAGGGCAAGGGCAGACTGGCATTCTGCTTTAAAGCACTCATCATCTACCTGAGAGACAAGGTGCAGGAAGGGAAGGGCTGTCCACACTCAGCTGAGAGTGAGTGGTATAGGCAGCATGGCGGGGGTGGGGGGTGTCTGTGAGAGCTCAATGAGCAAAAGCAGTTAAGAGGAGACATCTGGGCCCTCCCTGGTGGTGCAGCGGGTTAAAGCACAGCACTAAGAAGCTAAAGCCACTTCCGCATGAGTTCGATCCCTGCCTGCCTCGGAGGTGACCACATGGCGTGGCAGACCTCTCCTGACCTGCTCGCTGCTCCCCTCAGCAGTGTACTTCGTCTTTCTGCCTGTTCTGCTCCCCACTCTGTCTCTGGTGAAGCCTCTCGCTGCCCCTGAGCCTCTGGCCTGTACCCCAGTTCTGTATGCACAAAATAAATAAATCTTTAAAAAAAAAAAAAAAAAGTAGACATCTGCTCTTTCCGCCCTCTTTCCATGCCACCATAATGGTGCGCGTGACTATCCTGGCCGATGCCCTCAGGAGCATCAAGAATGATGAAAAGAGAGGCAAACGCCAGGTTCTCATTAGACCGTGCTCCAAAGTTCTCATCCAATTTCTAACTGTGATGATGAAACATGGTTACATTGGTGAACTTGAAAGCATTAATGATCACAGTGCTGGGAAAATTGTTGTGAACCTCATGGGCAGGTTAAACAAGTGTGGCGTGATCAGCCCCAGATTTGATGTGCACCTCAGAGATCTAGAAAAATGTCAGAATAATCTGCTTCCATCCCGTCAGTTTGATTTCATTGTACTGACAACCTCTGCAGGCATCATGGACCATGAAGAAGCAAGACAAAAACACACAGGGGTTCCAGGATATCCTAGGTGCCCAAGATAAAAGGAACATGACTTAGCCTCACTAGAGAACTTGGTGAAAATTGGGGGAAGGGTGGGAAATTTCAGCAGTGGGGCTGTTCAGAGTAGCTGTCCATTAATTCATTGATTTAGTTAGATTTGCCCCACCAGGTTTTAAAAATCACAGGCCTGGTTAATCTGTCATTACTTGTTTCTCCTTTTCTGTGTGTGGCTGGGTCATGTGAACCAGGTTGGGAGCTGTCTGGGGTGAGGGAATGTAAGAATGGAAAGGTCTTTTCCTTCAAGATACCATTTGTGTCTTTTCTCAACAGTGGGACTGTGAAGATGTAAATCTTGAAATGAACAAAGCAACATAGAGATACTCAGATCCCAGGTGCAGAGGTTCTCCATGAGGTCAGTGGACTTGACCTCCAATGAGTAATGCCTTCTGGAGCCAGCCCATCAACTTAAAGCCCAAGGTCAAGCATTTGTCAAGGACTGAGCAGGGATCAACCTGCAGTGACACCATGTCAGAAATTTAAGTCTCTGCAGAGGCTGCCCATGAGAGTGAGAAACTACAAGTTGTCACTGAGTTTGGCTGGTCTGCGTCATGCCTCAAAATGTAACTAAGACTTTGCATTGTGTGGACAAACATGGACATGCCAAGTTGGTCCAGAGATTAAAAGTCCACATACCACTCTTGGTTTATAAAACAAACTTTCACTCAAAGAATATTGGACCCTCTTTTCCTTCTACCTATTGATTCAGCCATAGTCTGAATATCTGCTAGTCCCAGGAATAGGCTCATTAACTAAGAGCTAATGTGTCTGGCTATCAGTAGAGCTCTGTTTTGCAAGACCTGGCTAAGCCCATGAAATTAGACTGGTGGGCCCACATACAGGGAGTCTGGGACACACTCAGAGGTACTGATGGGACTTAACCATTGCCCTCCTGTCACTCACTTGGGTTTTCGCTCGGACTGCCTGGTTAATCAGACGTTTGTGAGGTCACCACTGCAAGGCAAGCAAAGTATATCATTCTAGGTACAGGAATTGCTCCAACCTGGCAAGGTAGGTGCCAAGGGAGGGATTTCAGGTGTGGACTGAGTCTCCAGAAGTAAGTGAAAGCGTGCAGAGGGTAACAGCATGGCGGGTGGGGGGTAGGGAGGGTTTACATTTTAGGACAACAATACCATTTTAGGACTGTTCTGATGCTGTGATCATGGAGGAAGGGGAGGATGCAGGGAGTAGGACTAAAGTTGGCAGAACAATGGAGTGAATAAATCCTGATTGAGTGAATTAAAGCATCTCATTGTGGGATGCAGGGCTATAGCTGAATCCCAGCACAACCATAGAAGTCTGCCACCCGGGGAACTGGGAGAAATGCCAAGAAACACAGTTGTGCTCCTGGCTGGCCCCTGGCAGCCGGTGTGACTCAGCCGCAGCTGCCCTGCTTCTCCTGTGGGGCAGTGCAAGTCCCAGCAGCACAAAGAAGAGGATGCCGCAGGGAACTGGGTTGGTTCTACAGGTCTCTGCAGAGATCATAGTCTCCTGGGTGACCCCAGAGTTAGGGATGAACTCAAGACACCTCATTTCTCCCCTTTACCAACTGCTTTGGTCCTCAGGTGTCTTGTAATGAATTTGCTACAGTCAGTTTTGCACTGTGATATTAATCAGTGAAGCTGTATTTTGAGGGAAGATGAAGATATGGAGGAGGGAGGGCATTCCAGCAGTTCAAACTGTGGAGAAGATTGAAAGCAAGGTAGGTACTAGACAAGGGAGGAGGAATCCGATGTGTCCAGAGTGAGTGATGAGGTGTGGGCTACAGAGGGCATCACGAGGCTGCAAAGGAACCAGACTGGGCACTAAAGAGCTGGTACTTACTCTGTGGCTAACTGGCAGCCCTGGAAGATACATGAGGAAGGTGACTGGTAGCCTTCATGTAGCTCATACCTGTTAGGTTTCCAACCCTCTGGCTAAAAGTTTACAGAAAGCAGAAATGTGCTATGGATACAGTAGAACATGGGGTCCATGCTTAGTCTTAGTGTTAATAGAAGGGCTATAGAAAAACTCATCTTTAGAAAGGGAAAAGATGTGGGATAGAATAACATGTCTGGAATCTGCCTTTTGCACATCCTCTCTCAAGGAGAGGCTGACTCGTGCTGTGAAGGGTCAGAAACTGGTTGGGTCTGAAAGGAAATGACCACTCACCCCAGAATACCAGATGATCTGATTTTGAGCAGCATGAACTACTGAAGCTCCAGATGTTTCCTGTCCCCCTAAATCCCATCATCTTGGCCTCTTCCTTCATAAAGCAGAGCCTATTATCATGTTCTAAGTTTGTCTCAAAGCTAAATCTCAACAATTAAGCTGGGAATTTTGGAAGCAAAATTCAGCCTCATTGTTCAGTGTAAATCTGTGTGTATTTAAAATTCTGGAACTCTGCAGCCTTTGTGAAGCTGTAGCAACCAAATGCCTTTCTCCTACAGTGCCCTGCCCTGGGCCTCCGCTGTAGCCTCATCGCTACCTGCTACTCAGAGGATAATGGGAGTTATCTGCTCTGAAGACTCCCTGAACAGTGCCAAAGGTTTCCTACACTGGGCAAATGCTAGGGGAGGAATGAATCAGCCTCTCCTGCTCACTCACCTGGAGATGAGAGAAGGTATAACAGACCTAACTCTGCTTCCTGTTTTCTGCATGATTTGGAGCAGGTTACTTAACTTTGTGAATTCCTGAGTAGACTAAGAATAGTACCTGTCAAGAAAGATTGTTGTGAAGATGAAAGGAACTAACATATGATACAACACCTGGCTCAAAGTCAACACTGAAGAGAGAGTGTTTCCTTCCTCCCTGTGCTTCACCAGATATGCACTGAAAGGTAGTTAGCAGCCAATCAATCATGACCCACAGACAGTGGGGTGAAAGTTTTACAATTCCATTAAGTGATTACCCAGTTCTGCTTAAGCTACTCTGGGGTGGGGGTGGGGGGTTGGATTTCACCCATGTTATCTCCCAAAGAAGTGTTAAGATTTAGGGACTGCTCTGATCACTAAGTTTTTCCTAAAATCCTGTCTACCCTTTGAAGAACCAAAACCCTTTGCTCCCCTCTGTACTTCATTATAATGAAGAGATTTATACCTACCACCTAATTCTAACTCCCTTTATGGTTGTTACAGTGGAGTATGCGCCCCTAAAGAGTAAGAAGAAATAGTACCGCAAGAGGGGTGGCTAAGCTCCAATTCCCAGGGCAGGTTCATTGTGATCCCTGTCAAGTCATTTCCCTCTGTGGGTCATGGCTTCCTCATCTTTAAATGAAAGTTAGGCCGGATTTTCCTTTTTTTCCCTTTGCCAGTGAATTGTCTCCCACAAAAAGATTAGCATCTTTTTAAACTCTCAAAGAGTCATTATACTGTTAAGACAAATTTCAAATATACTTTGAAAATAGGTTTCATTATAACATATATTCCTTTCTGTTTAGATTTTACTATTTAAGGTAAAAGTTGCCTGTTAGGAAGATTCCAGTGTTTAGTGTAACACGAAGCGATCACATTTGACATTTTAAACTTTTGCAGATTCCGTTAAATCCTGAAAAACTTTAGGTCTTCTTTCCAGTCAGGATTCCAGCCACTTCCTTCACTTTTTAAAAATACTAACAGGCTCTATTATTGACAGGTCAAGCCTCACTCTCGCTAACCTACTAAAACTTTAGGTTTTAACTGAACCCTCTCTTACATGATTAATATTAATACAGAAAAACAATCACTAAGAAAAAGGTAGTTAGGAATGTCTCGAGATTAACTCTCAACACTTCCAAGATTCCCTTCACTTCCTCTAGTCTCTCCTAATCATCCGCCTCCCGTTTTCCAAGGCAATGCTCTGCTCTCCAACTTTGAATCACTTTCTCTGACATCCAAGTCGATGCTCTGGCAGAGGCTCTGCCTTGACCGAACTCAAGATTTGGTGCAATGCTGAGGAAGATTTCTTCAAAAAGGTCACACGTGCCCATCGGCATTATTCTAGAAGTCATCACGGGGAGAGGGGCGATCTTGGAGAAAAGGTGCTAAACCTGATGAATTAGAGAACATCTGACTGGGTTTTTCTTCGCCTAAATCTGAAAGCTGAACAAGGCACCCGGGGTCCGGGGTTGCTCTGGGGCCGGACACTCATCCCACCGAGCTTTAACTATAACCACTTGGGGTTGACTCAATCTCCCGTCCGGGGAGCTCGGCATACCCTTCCGCTTCCGGTGTCAATTTTCTACCAGCTGCCAGTGAAGGGCCCGGCCCGCTTCTTCCCGGTCGTCGGCGTCCGCAGCTGTGATCACGGCGGGCTTCGCCCAGTGGGCAGTCAGGTGGCTGGGCACTGTGCTCGCCCACAGCCGCCCGGCGGGGAAGCGGGTGGTCGGCTCGCCGTAAGGTGCGAGTGGGGCACAGAGGAGCCGCAGTTGGCGCCGTGACAACTGAACCTGGCTGGCGCGGCCGACCTCCCTATGCTGGCCGCGGCCAGCCCGCTGCCCCTGGCGGTTCTCTGAAACCGCCGCCCGGACTTCCGGGGAGAGCGGCGCTGCGTGGCTCCGCGCGTGCGCACTGCGCAGCCGCTGCCTCCCGCGACTCGCGCGAATCCCGCGAGCTGGGTGCCGCCGCGTCCGCCGCCCGGGAGCTAGAGGCGCTGCGGGGAACGCCTCCTGGCGTACGTGTCGCGTTGCTGGTGGTGGTTTTCCTTTCTTTTATGGTAATTATGTCAGTGGAGGTGACGTTGCTTTACAACACTGTAAATGTTTTAGGGGCACACCTTTACAAAAGTATCACACCACACCCCCACCCACGCCCCCCTAATCCGCCACTTTAGTCACAGCGCTGTTTTTAGGAAGTTAATTACGAGATGATTGCACCGTAGCGAAGAGACAGTTCAACATCCTTTGTGGTGCAAGTAGATCGTTCTGTAAGTTCACAAACATTTAATCGAGGTAGTTCAGACTCTTGCTGCCATGTTGCATGTGTGTGTGTGTGTGTCTGTCTGCACGCAGACCCTTTGCCTAACCAGCTAGGTGAAAACGATCTTGGAGCTGGAGAAACGAAACGGCACAAGGGTGCATTGTTAGGAAAGTTAACTGTTCTCAGAAAGAAGGTGTCTGGTTGAGCAGCAACAGCAGATGGTTAAAACCTAAATTCTTAAAGAAGGTAGAGCTAAACTGTCTCTGTTATGGAAGAGCTCAGTATGTTCACAAACCAAGAAACTGCGATCCACTTGGCAACCGTCAAGTTCAGGCATCTCTGGCGCGAACACTTTCACCATTACAGGCCATGTTGAAACAAAGCCGAGTCTTAAATAAAGCAGCTTCATGAGTGTAGGCAGTCTAACTCGTTTGAGACTGACTTTGTCCACCAACCCATGGATAGATAAGCACCACTTGCTATTAGATAAGCACCTCTTGCTACTGGAAAGAATGATGATAATGAAGTTCCAGGTCTTGAGGACAATTTCCAAGAATGAAGCAAACTGAATTGAGTCAACTTTGGAAGAAGATAGAATTTGAAGTTATTGGAAGCTGCTACTTTGTATTATGATGGCTCTTTAAAATTTTGCCGATGGGCCTTATAAAATCTAGATCTCTAATTGTTTTGAAGATATACTTATTTATGCATACTGAACCGGGGTACAGGCCAGAGGTGCAGGGGGGTGAGAGGATTCACCAGAAACAGAACAGGCAAATAGA